CTGTTATATTCACTTTTTACCTTTCTTTTTAGTAATGGGGCATGAATGTCAGCAATTTCCAAAAATATTTCCTTCCATGTGTACCAGGCAGTATTTGCATCAGTGCAATTGTAAAACAAAGTTGAGTTAAGTGCTTGGTTAAGGTCTTGCTGGAAATTGGTAATGTTAAAGTGCTTGAATTGTCTTGTTTCTACTACTTTAGGTTTTGCTTTTGGAATGCTAACCTTTCTGCATGCATAAACCAGGCTGTGGTCGCTAATTCCGAGGTGAATGACCCCTGATTCAATGATTTTTGTGTCGCCTATTTTTGTGATAATAATGTCTAATAGAGTTTTAGTTCTAGGAGTAATTCTTGTCGGGCTAGTGATTAACTGTTGTAGTTGGTATTCATTTATTAACTCAATCAATTTGTTTGTATGTTGGTTATTATTTTCAGTTGACAGAAAATTGCAATTAAAATCACCAGTTATAACAAAATCTTTGTCCTCTTCATCAATGTTCTGTAAAAAATTTTCAAAATGGACAAGTAATTCTATCTTGGCATCGGGAGGACGATACCATGTTGAGATCAGTAGAGGTTTGCTGTTAGGCTTGTTAATTTCAATACAAATAGCTTCTACTGTACTTGAAAGTAAGTGATTGCAAATAGTATAGGGAATAACATTTCGTATATAAATTGCGACACCCCCACCATTTCGATTTCGGTCTTTCCGAATAAGATCATAACCTGTGATATTAACTTCGTTGTTGTCAATAGTGCCGTCAAGTCTAGTTTCATTGATACTTAATATGTCAAACATTTTATCGTTCATAAAAATTCTTAGTTCATCAACATGCTTATATAGACTTGCAACGTTTTGATGGCCAATTTTAAAGCCTTTCAGTTTTGGATAAGGCGTGCTGTTTATTTGCATTGTTTGTCGTGAACTAGACTGTGTGTTTATTTGATCTACGATATGCAAAAATGTTGAATCAGGATCCGCAGTGTTTGAAAACTCAGGATCTAGTCAATGGCTGCTAAAAAATTGTCTTATGTTTTTAGCTAATGTAGTAGTTCCATGTTTATTTAAATGTAGACCAGAGTTATTTAAAAGACTTCCTTTAATGTTGTTGTGTTTAATAAGTCCCCAGCCCTTATCTGTACATAATTTAGCGAGCTCGGCATTGACTACATTTACCTTTTCTGCTAAGTTTGGATCATCAGTTCGAGTTATTATTTCCGACCATATAAGTTCCAGATCGTTGTTCTGTCTATGGATCGTTTCACCAAGATCATTCATTGCATTTATTAGATCTTCTGGTGTTTTGTTATGTAAGTCGTTGGTTCCAACATGAAATATAAGTGTCTTTGGCTTGGTAATTAGAGTTGGTACTGCATAATGCTTCATTTGGTCAATACCTGCACCAGGAAATGTCTTAATCGTTACTTTTCCTTTCTTCAATCCATTCTGCATTCGTTTGGGGTCCAAATGTTTAATGATCGAATCTCCGAGGATAGCTATTCTAGGTTGACTACGTTGTGAGTCACGACTTGACTCATTAGAATTTGATGGACCACTGCTTTTTCCAACCATCTGTATGTTGCTGTGTTTGGTTGTATTCGAAGTTTCGTCTAGAATCTGTTGGGTATTCAGTCTTGCTGGAATATCGTCATGTTCAGAATCAGTGACCCTAAGGGTTGTATATTGATTTTTTGTTTCAATAGTATTTGATCCTGCTGGGGTCTCTGGAGGTGGTTTATTATACTTCGTCTTTACAACTTTCCATTTATGTTGTTGAGTATTATCTAATTCGTATTGCAAGAGTGTTAATGCCGTTGATAAGCTCTTATTTTCGTTTTCAAGGTTTTGCATTCTGTCATTTAAATCCGGCTGAACAGTTTGAGTTTCCTTTTGAACTAGCTTTAGGGTTGTGATTAGACTCTGCTTCTCATCTTCCAATCTTTGTACTGTCGAATTAAAATCCGAAATTTTTTGATGTAATACTTCGTTCTTCTCTCTTAAGTCGTTGTTAGCTTTGATTAGGTCATATTTCTCTTTCTTTAATTCATGGACAGTGTTCTCGAGAATTATAATCGAATAAACTTTATTTTCTTTAATGTCAGCCACTTCTTTTGTAAGAGCTTGAAATTTGCTGTCGACGTTCTCAGCAAAGCTCTCCAGCTTAAATTTCAATGCAACGATATCAAACTCTGGATTATAGTTTTTGTTCGGGTCTCCCAAAGGAATATAGGAATGAGGCACTCTATGCAAATTCATTGGTTCTTTATGCAAATTTACACTTGTTGACAAGTTTGTGTTCGTTTCTTCCTTTGAACTTTGGGCTTCATGAATAATACTGTAACTAAAATCAAATGTCGATTTGAAGCCTTTACAGGATTACCCTCTTTAGTTGATGTATCTTCGGTTTTTTCAATATCACTCGTATTCTCATCCTCGCTAGCTCCCTCGTTAGTTGGTATATCTTTAGTTTTATTAATATCATTCATATGTTCATTCTTGCTAGCTAACAGACTTTCGATGGACTTTGCTAGCTCGGTTTCTGTAGGACTTCCACTCACCACCGTTTGATCACTCTCCCCGAGCCCCAGATTTACGTAGGAATATACTCGTGTGGTGAGATCGCTGCCTTTTTCACCTTTGAAGTAAATATTTTCACTTTTACTATGCCATGTAACTGATAGCATCTTAGAATCAAACTGCCATGTCCCGCCGCTCGGTGAACGCCATGATGTATTTTCGGCTATTTCTTCACTAATTTCCGTGAGGACAAATGCTTTAAGGTCTTCCAAAGTTCCTGACCATTTCAATTTACTTTTATTAAGGCCAAAATAGCCGTACAATACGTTACTAACTGTTGTAGAACTCATAATTGAGAGGAGCTCAAAAACACACGTCTGTGACACGTTGTTAAGGCCAAAAATGAAGTAGTTTTCCCATAGAGACATGTTAATATGTTTCTCATCATTGCAGCAACAACATAAAATTTGCCAACTGCACTAAGCCGTAATTTTAAATTTTTCTTAAAATCAATAAAATTAAAACTGTTTGCAACATCACCAAACAACCATTCCACAGAAACTCGGAGGGAGCTCATTGCTCGATTAAATTCTTTCATATCCTCTGTTAATACTTGCACATCACCAACACGGTAGGGGGCCATTAACTGTGGGCGAAGTGGATAAGCTGGGTCTCCATACAAGCAAAGGAGTTGCCCATCTGGATTATGGGCGTGAAGCTCCAGGGAACCTAGTAGGCCAGAATCTTTTAACATCCCTGCATCATGGCGACGTCCCTCGACAGGACCATATAGATTGGCTATTAAACCATAAGGCAGAGCAACTGCTTGGAATTTAAGTGCATGCACACGTTTATGTCCATTGTACACTACACGCTGCATCTTGCCAGGGCGGCATATTTGACGCACTGTACCATCAACAAACCCTAAGCAATTGACTAAGGGACTTCCTCGTTCTCTAATGGCATTTGCATACTGTTCAAGTGCCAAAGGAGATAAAAAGCTTTGGTTCCATGATGTTAGGTGGAAGCCATGAACATCATAAATCCAGTCAAGTACTGTATTGTAGATCATGCATAGCCCAGGCACAGGTCTTGCAAACGTGCTCATCATGTCAACATATCGACAAGGATATGCTAACCTGAAGGAAAGTTCAAATAAAATACATAAATATAAAAATGCAGGTATACGACAATAAAACATGCACACTATTAAATATAAATTAACATTTATACTGTATTATGTATACTGTACCTTTTTAACAATATGCACAACCCTTCAATGCCATCACAAATTGTTCCTTGACCACACTTAAACGTTTCTGGAACTCTCAAAGCATCTACAAGAATAGGTATGTCCTCTTGTTTTACTCTGAACATGGCTTCAAACTCACTGGAATCGTACTCTTCCCAGCAAAAATCACCAAATTCCCAGTAAGGGTAAGCAGGGTTTGTTGACTTATATGCATCGTAGAGAAGCACGAACTCTTCGTCATCTATCTGCCCATCGCCATAACTTAACACCAGAGCTGTTCTAACATCTTGAAAGGACATCTCAACCGGTTTATGAGTGTCCTTAAGTTTTGAATTAGGACAAATATATATATATATATATATATATATATATATATATATATATATATATATATATATATATATATATATATATATATATATATATAAATCAAGTAGTGAAGTACGTTGTCGCCTTTGTAGTCGAAATCTTAATCGCTAAACTTCTCCGTACGTCGCGCGCTTTTTGTCGTAGTCGGCCCAATCTTCCAAATGTTAGACCGCGCATGAAAACGCGTTGTCCGTAGTCTGTTGCCGTGGTATCTTAAAGTCCTTAATAGGGGGGGGGGCACATATTCATATATACCTGTTCACATACCATAAAAACAATTGATTTAGTTATTAATAAAGCAGAACATGAATATATGAATATGTGCCCCCCAATTATCGTTCTGGCAACGGCACTGGTTGGTCGCACTCTGTCTTTTCCACCATGCAACTAAAACCTGTTAGAATTGGTTTACTGCCGGACCTGGTTTACTTCGTCCAGAATTTTAGACGAACAAAAACAAAAAGGACACAACCATACTTCCTTTCCTGGGGGAAATCAAGCTCTCCTCGCACACTCGTACATGTTTAATGTTTTCACTGTTGTTAACTGTTAAGTACGCGATAAAGACAGACTATGTATAAGTAACTAAGTCAGAATTTTGAGCATGCAGAATTTAGTCAGCTGTAAAATATTTGAAATTGTTACATATAGTTGCAGTAGCATTTGAATTTAATCAGCTGTATTAGGATATATTATATGCAATTTTTTACGACTGCATGCACGCAGTCACACAAGTGAGATATAAAATATCTTATTAAGCAGAAATACAAATGAAAATTTTACTTTTGGGACTTGAAAAGACATGCTCATTTTCGTATGCTTGTGCTTATCTTACTCGTGTGAATTAAGTTGTGAACCACAATTGGCGAGACGAATGAAGCAAAGCGCTATGCAATCAACATATTTATTGCATAATTTTTTTTCGGTATACATGCAGCATTAAGTCATTGCTGTCGAAAACGTAGTTATACATCTGTAAATGTGTTGGTATTCAACTCTGTTTATAGCAGTTCATAGATTTTAAGACAACTGGATCAACTCTATTGTGTACTTCTACTATGTACTATATTATGAGATAAACTTTATAAGAACTCGAATTTTCTTTCCATCTATTACGGTTATTTGAGCAACCGGTGTTTAGCAAATATGGATTTCTCTCCTGTTGAGTGTGATAAAGACTGTAAAATGCGTATAGATACAAATAAATAATGTTGTTCTTAAACAGATTAGGCTGGCCCGCTGCTTGCATAAGGATCAGCATCCTGTAGCAGCAACTCCAGTTAGATACAAATAATGTCATGTTTGGTTTTATTTTAATGCATATTCAATCGAAAATTCGGATCGGCGGTCGAAAAGCTGTGCATGTGTGAAAGTTTATATTAAAAACGCTGTAAATGTACTATGGCTATTAGCCATGCTAAAAGCGAACGCAGAACCGTTCTAAAATAAGCAACGACTCAACAAATTCCAACAAAATAAAATAAGCAACGACTCAACAAATTCCACTAGGCATCTTTATTACTATTAGTTTCGTACCACAAGATGTGGCACTCATCAGGTAAATTGGCTAATTTATCTGATAAGTGCCACATCTTAATTGTGGTACGAAACTAATAGTAAAAAAGATGCCTAGTGGAATTTGTTGAGTCGTTGCACTTATTATTTAATTATGCTCTGGATATCCATTGAGCACTCTGCCAAATATATATATATATATATATATATATATATATATATATATATATATATATATATATATATATATATATATATATATATATATATATATATATATATACAGAAAATACGTTCTACTATAGGGTCCAATATTCTATTTAGCCAAAAATGGTGCCAATTTTCGTATTTTTTAAACAAATTTGTCCAAAACTGAAAAACACAGAAAAATTGGAAAAAGAATGCAAATTTTCTTCTCTTGCCAAAACAACCAAATTTACCTAAAATTAACAATACATTTTATAGACTGTTCTGAAAAGGATCAAATAATGCAAAAGTAGCATGACAGCTAACAGTGAAAATATGTTGGTTTAAACCGAAGGCATCTCTGATCAATTTATGGAATCTATATAGGTTGGATCTCAGGATCGATATGCAGCTTTGGTTTTGCCGATGCCATCGAACAAGTCAGGGTAATTTTTTTCAAGGCGCCTATTTAATATGGTGTTCAATGCAGTGTTTACAGTTATTTTTAGGATTCCCAAGCTTTGGGGAGTGTTGCAACTCAAAAAGTTGCCATTTCGTCTTTTGATGACATAGAAGGTTGCAGTGACTGTGGTTGACCGGAAGCGAATTTCTGCAACAGTCATACTTACAGTGCTGCTCAGAAATAACCTAACACTGCGTTCGCGTTCCGAAGTGTTTGTTGCAACTGTACATGTAATCATAAACACACAATTCAAACAGCCGAAAATGCTTCAAATCGCGATCGTGTCCAACCTAGCAAGCCAGGGTTTTTAGGATCGGGTCTTTCAACCCGAGCTAGAAAGGTCTGTGTTGTGTAGCCTGCGAACAGGCTCTTTGAATTGATTTAGAGCCTGCCGGTTTAGTCAATAAAAATGCGTCTGTGCCCATCACTATTTATAGTGTTGTCAATCAAATGCAAAATACTATGTGACAAATTAATACAGACACTCCTTATGCAATAGCCTGCGAATGTATATGTAAACAAAACGCATATCTTGATTTCAACGCATGATTTTTTACAACATTAAAAGCACTTGTCTTTCTTTCAAACAACCCTGAAATTTCCTGAAGTAGCAATAGTAAGTGAATTCACATAAACACCACAACGACTTGAGTTTGAACAACTACGGCGTACTAGAATGCTCAAGAATGCAAATTATAGTCGCCTTTGTCTTAGAGGAAAGATGCTATTGTTGATATAAGAACCGGTTGCCGTTGTATATATTAAGAGCTTTTGACTGTCTATCCTTTAACTTTAAATAAAGATTTAGTTTTCTATACAACTCGTCGCTATAGAACGATATTTTTCGATTTGAATCTATTGTTGTGTAAATTTAATTACCTTTTATGGCAGTATAATGTGGTTAATTCAATTTCAACCAATGGGAACCCTGCGTCGTTCTAACCAACGCACAGACGCGTTTTTATTAGCTAGGCCTGCAGGCTCTCTCTCAAATTTCAAAGAGAGTTCAAAGAGAGCCTGTTCGCAGGCTAGTGTTGTGCAAATGCTGCATTTCAGCAATTTAACATACATGGGATGAAAATAATTCCGACTAAAACTCAGCCGGCTCAAACTGCTCACGGGCACAAATAGATCGCTATCAAACGTGCTGAAGCAAGAGTATCATGTAGCATACTTGCTACAGTTTATTTTAAATTGTCGCCGCTTCTGTATTTTTTTACGCATAACTAAGTCATTACACATAATTATAAACATTTACAATTAGTCAAAATACTACAGACTGTAAAATTTTTGGCTACCCAACATCTCGGGTCGATTTTTTAATAAGTCCATGCTTCCAATATGCATTTACTAACAATCGTACCAACTTATGATGATGTTTTCCTTACTGTGGAACGCGAATACACGCATATCATGGCCAGAAATTCAGACAACATGGCGATTGGCATACGCAATGTACTTCCTCATTCATTATTTAAGATGGCTGATTTATATATAGATTAAGTATTGCAAATATAATATTTTCGTACATAAATCCGAGCTCTGCACGTCGAAAACATCATTTAATTACTCGATCCTTTAACCGAATAAATTTCAGAACAGTTCAAGTAGGACAAACCAGTTCCCGAGAACTATATTCCTACCTTATCTCATCACATATACCAGATAAGTTAATTCTCCCAAAATTCGAAAATTGCACATTTTTGGGCAGCATTTTAGGACATTCGTGGGCAGTACATGGAGCTTCTGCACGTCTGCATTGATAAAAGTTGAGTTTATCTTTGTTCTCCAACCGTAGAGGATGGATAAACAGGTTCCAAAAAGCCACAAAATATATGCTTTTTAGCAAACGGAAAATGTGTACCTCAAGTAAGTATTTAAACGGCTTATTGTTGTATTGTGCGTATAAAATTTGCATACGAATACAATGTCGGATACATGTCCGACTGCATTCTATTCTTTTTTGAAATGGAAACTTGGTGAATATGAGCCCGCGCGTCTTTCCGCTGACTGTCCTGAATTTCTGGCCATGCCAGGGTGTCTCAAAAAACCGCTACCCTTAGAAATTCACCATTGTTCTAATTTGAATGCCTGAACCTTGTTGAAGCCATGAATGCGCAAACATTTTCACAGGATGCATATATTAAAGATCTTCGGAATTAAAATATCCTTGAAAAGCGAAATTTGTTATCCTGGGAATTGAAAATAGGTTCATACAAAAGTATAACTGCACGAAAATCGTTCAATTACATATTAGTGAATGTCAACGAAATGGCTCGACTGAGCACAGAGCAAAGAGTATTTATTGTCTTAAATGAGAAGCATAAAATTCCATTCAAATTGTTCATGCACCCATGAGTTCAAGATAGCACTCAGGCATTAAAATTAGAACAATGGTGAATTTCCAAGGGTAGCGGTTTTTTTGAGACACCCTGTACTGTTAAAGTCATTAAAATTCCTTCAAAACTGTTTTATTTTAGAGTTTTGTGAAAAGCGCGAGCATTTTCTGCATGGTCATCAGAAACCTGATCATGATGGCGAATAGACGAAATTAGCTAGATTGTGTTTTGTTTTGTCCCGGCCGAGTGCTAGTATTGATCGCGCACATGTGTGTGGTGTGTGATGTGTAAATCATAGGTTATTTTGATTCGCCGCTCGTTAGCGAACACAAAATGTGAAAGTGAGGCTGACTAACACTCGGGAAATCGCGATGATTTCCGACGATATCCGGTTTCGATACGAGTGTAACCGTAACGCGTTCCGCAAATGCGTTCCGTTAACAGTGGAACGCAAATGGAACGCAAATGGAACGCGAATGGAACGCAGATGGAACGCATTCAGGAACGCGTTCCGAACGCGTTTTCTGTTAGGTTATTTCTCAGCAGTACTGTAAGAGTGGCAGTTGAGCCGTATTTGTATATCTTGGACTGTGGTGTGCTAAGGCGCTCAGAATGTGGTGTGGTAAGCCGCTACATGGATGATTTTCTGCAACCTAATATACGAAGGTCACCCGATGAAATATTTCTCTATATTGGCACGAACAATATCAAAGAAAATGACTCGCCTGAAGTTCTCGCTGCAGGTATTTATAGATTAGCATCAATGATAACCAAGAAATCACCTAATACTAAAGTGACTATCTCTGGTTTAATAGTTAGAAAGGGCCTAAATTTAAAATCGAAGATAAAGTCTGTAAACAAGTTGTTGAAATCAACTTGCGTGGCTAATAACTGGCCCTTTATTGATAATTCAAACCTAGATGAAAGCCGTCTAAACCTTAAAGGTTATACCTAAATCGGAAAGGAACGAGCTATCTTAGCAGTAACTTTTTAATTATATATGATATTCGATTCGGGCTAGTTGCAATCCAATAAGTATACTTGAGTCTAGCTTTCCTAAAATTAGGGGCTTTAAGGTAGCCATGCTAAACATTGTCAGCCTGCCGAAATATATTGATGAGATTAGAATTCTATTAGCTAAGCAAGATCTTGATATTCTTGCTTTGAATGAGACTAGGCTAGACGATATGTTGTCTGATGATTTGATGTCCGTTCATAATTATGACCTGATTCGTACTGATCGGAATAGGCAAGGTGGTGGTGTTTGCCTATATATTAGAAGTAATTTGAACTATCTTAATCGAAATGATTCAATCCCTGCTACTCTTGAAGCAGTCTGTGTTGAACTTCACAAACCAAACAGTCAACCATTCATTGTTGCTAGTATATATAGATCTCCTAGTGCAAGCTCTCAGTATTTTTCTATGATGGAATCCTTTATTGATAAACTTGATAGTGAAGGTAAAGAAATTATTGTGGTTGGTGACTTAAACTGCAATATGTTAGATTCGTTGAATTCGGCATCCAAAAAACTAAATGACTTTTTGAATCTCTATCAACTTTCCCAATTAATCGTTAAACCTACTCGTGTAACTCAAACCACAAGCTCCTTATTGGATGTCTGTATATCCTCACTCCCTGAGAAAATTATATATTCGGATGTATTTGCAATCGGAATTAGCGATCGCAATTTAATATTTGTTGTTCGCAAAATTAATGTGCAAAAAAGGGTGAGAGCCAATCAGACTGTTGAAATTAGAAATTTTAAACATTTCAATCCCAGCAGATTTCAAGAAGATCTATTATCTCAGCCATGGGATCATTTAGACAGTAAGGATGACGTAGACTCCAAATGGTGTTTGTGGAAAACTTTGTTTCTGGCAGTTCTTGATGTGCATGCCCCTCTTATAGGATGAAAAGAGTAAGAACCCGAAGTAATATCCCTTGGTTGAATAAAAATTCTAAAAAATTAATGTTTGAAAGGGATAAACTTAAATTGAAGGCAATAAAATCCAGTTCCACTTTAGATTGGAATGCATACAAGACGGCCAGAAACGTTGTTTCATGCACTTTACAAAAGGATAAGCAATTATATTATAGTAATTTGCTTTATAAATACAAACACAATCCGAAAGAAAGTTGGCAAACTATAAATCGAATCCTTGGGCGAGGCCATAATAAATCATCTATATCTAGCATTAGACAAAATGATAATATTATTTCTGGTTCTAATGAAATAGCTGAGACTTTCAATGAATATTTTTCTACTATCGGAGACAAAATTGCAAATTCCGTTGATTCTGGAAATACTCACTTTAGTTCATACATAAGTAAATCATCCACGACTTTTGAGTTTGATACTGTATCTGTTCATAAAGTTTTACATTAATTTCATGCTTTATCCTCCTCTAAGGCAATCGGAGTTGATAAAATTCCAATAAAAGTATTGAAACTTTCTATAGCCATTATAGCGCCATCTATGACTAAATTATTTAATTATGTAATTCAGAATGGGGTCTTTCCTCGCGATTGGAAGGTAGCCAAGGTTATACCTCTCCATAAGAAAGGTCCCAAAAATTTGTTGGATAATTATCGCCCAATCTCTATCCTTCCAGCTATCAGCAAGGCCTTTGAAAGTATACTTTATGAGCAACTACATGGCTATTTATCCAATGCTAGCATACTTTCGAAATGTCAATTCGGTTTCAGACGATATCACTCTACAACTACGGCTCTTCTTGATAGCACTAATCAATGGTATTCAAATATGGATAAAGGTTTGCTTAATATTGTTGCTTTTTTAGATCTTAAAAAAGCTTTTGATACAATTGATCATGAAATCTTGATTGAAAAGCTAAATATGTATGGGGTAAAACGGCATTCATTGGGGTTACTTGAATCATACATAACAAATCGGTCACAAAAATGCTTTATAAATGGTACATTATCTCATTCTAAACCGATTAAGTGTGGAATTCCTCAGGGATCGATTTTGGGGCTACTATTCTTTTTAGTGTATATTAACGATCTGCCTAATTGTTTAAAATACTGTACACCGAGGATGTTTGCAGATGATACGACGCTCACTGTGTGTGGCAAATCCACACATAAAATTTCGTCTGCTTTGAATCATGATTTAAATAATGTTAACGATTGGCTAATGGCTAATAAGCTTTGTTTGAACCTTAGCAAAACGGAATATATGCTAATAGGATCCAGGCACAGCATCAATAATCTTGTTGATAATCCTTGTATTTCTGTTGATGGTAAACTTTTGAACCGAGTGATAGTGACTGAGTCTCTAGGAATTCATATTGACCAATTTCTCTCTTGGGATTTTTATATTGAGAAATTGACAAAGAAAATTTCTAGTGGCATTGGAGCGATTTCAAGGTTAAAACCGTTTGTATGCAGAAATACTCTTATTTCTGTCTACAACGCTTTAGTTCAAACATATTTTGATTATTGTTGTGAGGTGTGGGATCCGATTGGCAGTGTTTTATCTGATAAATTGCAGACTCTTCAAAATCGGGCAGCAAGAATAATTATGGGTTACCCAAATGAGCACGGATGCTCAGAAGCTGCTTTGACTGCGCTCGGGTGGAAAACACTTAAGGAACGTCGATTTGAATCTAAAGCCAGACTCATGTATAAGATTATTCATGGTTTTGCACCTACTGCGCTTACTGAAATATTTTCTAGTGCTTCAGTTGTCAGATCTCATGACTACAATTTACGTAATTCCGACATGAAGCTCAATCTTCCTTTTCCTAAAACGGAATATTTAAAAAAGAGTATAAGTTTCAATGGTGTTAAATTGTGGAACGATTTACCTATTGAAGTTAGAAACGCAGAAAGCCTAGGAATTTTTAACTCGCTTTTATGTGCAACTAGCCTGTCACGATCTACTAGTTTGTAAATATTTAACTTTGTATATACGTGTCTTGTTGTTTATTATGTGTTTTAAATTTTTTCACCACACCCCCCTTGGAAATCAATTTGTATTGAAGGGGTTAGCGTGTTTAAATAAAGTCTTACCTACCTACCTACCTGCTATGAATTTCGCGAAGACAAGTTTTCCCGCGCTTTTATAATTTTAAACAAAACTGGTAGAAAAAACTGTATTAGTGTTCAATATTCATTATTATCTCTTCATTATTCTGCCATATCGCTTGTCGTATGTTTGAAATTGACAAAACAACTGAAAAGGGTTGGAAAACCATGAAAAAAGCCACGATTCGCAACTGTCCAATAGGTTCCTGTCCAATATCGTAAAATATTGGACCGGCACGTGACCCTCTCAACGATTACTGATTGGCTAAGTGCGCGCGAGTGTATAATAAATGTTCATATTTTGATTTCTGATCTTTTGCTATAATAATAATAATATATTCATGTTTGACCCCCTTAAATATATAAAAACCTAACCCTAACCCAGAACAAATATCGTACATAACGTTACGAATATAGGTATTTAAAATAAATACATATTTATGATATTCTTTATTTTGAAGTGCAAAGTGAAAATGACGTCTTACCTTGCATTTTACCAGGAACTGCGACAATTTCTATTGAACTATCTTCATCAGTCTTTTCTGCCTTAATATATAAATACATACACATAATTATTTTTAAAATCTTACAAACAGATATCGTCTGCCGTTTTCTGCTTTATAGATTTATATACAGATAAACAATATAATGTCACACTGTGATCACAACAAAAAGTGGTTAGCTAGCCACTAGTGTACATGTTATGCCTCGTTACGATGTCCTGTTGTGACTGTTGTACATCCGTAACTGAACAGACTACGGCGCGCAAATGTTACCTCTCGTTTATAGAATAAGATTATTAAAACGCTGGTACAATCTGATAGACCATTTTTGAATTATGTAGACCAACACCAGGTCAAAGCTTAGTGCTCTAAGTTCAATACTGAGACATTACAATTTGGCACGCCTTTTTTAAGACAGCAATGTGCATGGTGATGAGACCGAATTCGGGAGTGGTCTTTTATGTTTACTATATAGTCGACAATTAGTCAATTTCTTTTATAGTAGATCGGAAAAAGCTAAACAGCACGACGTGCTTCAACTGAATATCAAAGATTTTTGTGTCAATTTCATAATTTTTTTGTGAATTTGCTTTTGACTTTTCTTCGTGCTTACTAACCTCCTCACTGGGCACTCGAGAATGTAAATAACCTTTGTCCAGTATGCCTTCCGCGGTAGAATCATTGCACTTCTCGTCTAGATCAACAAATAAATTTGTGTTATTATATAAATATCGAATCATGCCCAAAATCCAATCCATAAATCCCTTTCCTACCTTGATGAGCAGTCAGCCAAACTAGGCTTTGTCTTGAATCCGTTTCAACTCCTGCCTTGGCTAGACGAAGCAACAACCATTGGACAAGTAATTGGCACGATCGATAACTAAGATCTGGAGTCACCAAAAGAACACCGTTGCCATCGCTACCAAGTTCTTCAGTTACAGGGTGAGTGTCGATGAAAAATAAAGCGTTGTTAACAATTCCAATAGTAACGATGTAGGGCGAGCAGGTATATATTCCAAAACACATTTCCTCCAGAGATGCTTTCGATTCTAAACTTTTAACAAGCTCATATCTTCCAGCGCACGAAAACACTTTGTTCCCCGAAACACATTCTTCTGAAACTCGTACTGTTGGTGAAGCAGGTTTTTGGAGGGCATAATGGCATACGCTTCTTGAACATCATAGAAAGATGAGACATCCCTGTGCTCATTAACGCAAGATGGAAGTTGGCAGATGACGTTTTCAACTACCTTTCGAACCGTTTCCCACGTCTGTTGGTTTTGTGACTTGTCGCTGTTTAGGAGACGATTGCAAATTCCGATGGAAAGAAATGCACAACAATTAGTTGCATCATCTAATAGGGGTACATGACCTTCTTCGCAAGCGGACTGATATGAGTTGACTTGAATTTTTGCTGCTGCATCTCGACTATACTGTTTTACAACTGTACTTTGGCTCAAAGCTAACTTTTTGCATTGGAATGATTCACTTAAGTGGTTATTGAAAATACTAAGAACTCTTGAAGCAGAAGGTCTTGCGGCAGGATCAAAATTTGCACTCACGTTGAAAATCTCTTCAAGTTGCCACCAAGAGTTCATTCGCAGTTTTTCGTATTTTGTGCCATGTTGCGGTAGCCTGCCTTTTGCCAGAAGATTTTTCACGACTGCTTCAGTATTGGGAACACCCGACTGCTCTGCTTCAGCGCGATAAGGACACCCAAGTTCAGGGTTCATCAGTACATGCATAACCATTCCAATCGACCACATATCTGCACGCTTTAAATCTTCTTGGTTTGCAATAGTTATTTGATTTAGTTTCAGTTCTGGAGCCATATACGCAGGTGTTCCACAAAAAATTGAAGGTGTACTAGACACGACGATCGACTAGGTCTGTATATCGACTCCACGGCTCAGTCCGAAGTCAGTCAGTCGACATACAATGGGGCATTCTTTAAATGCTTTGCTTGAAAGAATGGAACCGTCAGTTACTTCACCGTTATATAAGTGCTGGTTACAAACTAAGACATTGCTTGGCTTCAGATCTCGGTGGGCCATAGCCCAAGTGGTGTCATGCAAATATTTAAGCCCCGTAAGGATATCTTTGGCACACACGGGTAAGATATCAGAAAAACTGGACAACAAGCTGAATTCAGAGTCCATTACCTGAAGAAAGTCAGCGAGGGAGCTAACATTTTTATTCAAACCGAACATACCGAAATGAAACTTAAATACTGCATCATAATACAATGTGGATCAGAACAAAAAGCCATAAACGTCACTGTATTTGGATGTCCTTTGACACTGTTTAAGATTTTTGCCTCCTTTCTGAAACTCGCCTTCGCGTCAAGAGACAGACTTTTGAGCTTCTTTAGTACGACCTTCTGTGCAGGATTGCCATATTGGGCGAGGTAGACGGACCCAAAACTACCCGAACCAATTTTCTTTTCTTTAACGATGTTCTTCCATTCAAATGTGCGCAAATCGAAACTGTACGTGTGTTTGCATTTGCTCAGTGCTGTTGTTGTTGTCCTCAAATGTTGCCCTATATGTTTTTAGTGTTTTTCAGTCTCGTATGTATCGAAAAATAATCTCTAGAATAAAAAAATTTCCGTCTTCACTATGTCTATAATATTTGTGCGATCGATTTCATTTAGGGACAAAAACGTCGTTGACATTTTTTGCCTTTATTACGTAATCGCCAAAAAGTGCGAACACATGTTTTTTGGTGGCTTGGAAACAATATGGCGGCGTATACGAACTAATATCGTTTTGAACATATTTTGTACAAGTTTATTCAAGTTTTTCTTTACTTCATTTAATAAATATATCAACCAGCATTCGTATGTAGTTCGACAGTACAATATTATACAGATATATTGAATGGAGTATTAAAAATGCTATCAGAATAATGTACGAGTTCACGGATCGAAAGCTATTAAAAGTTTACGTGCTGTTTTCCACCACGAAATATTATTCATTATAACTGGGATTACATAAAAAATATAAGCTCAATAGTAAATAATCTTCACACAAGTCATCCGACGACAGCGATGAAATTATTCTGTTCTATTAATCGAGTCCATGTTTTACTAATCGGGTCCATGTTTTACTAATCGGGTCCATGTTTTACTAATCGAGTCCATGTTTTACTAATCGAGTCCATGTTTTACTAATCGAGTCCATGTTTTACTAATCGGGTCCATGTTTTACTAATCGGGTCCATGTTTTACTAATTGGGTCCATGTTTTACTAATCGGGTCCATGTTTTACTAATCGAGTCCATGTTTTACTAATCGAGTCCATGTTTTACTAATCGGGTCCAGTCTATGTTTTACTAATGAGTCCAGTCCATGTTTTACTACATGCCGCTTGTCAGGCGAAAAACACACTGCCCAAAGATTTTATTATTTATTCTAGTAGATGTGTCATAATACTCAGTAGCTGCAATAGATTGGATACCTGATACCGTTGCACTTTTGAGAAAAAATAATTTACCGCCAGCATACTAACACGAATATTTAATCCGCTGTCTGAAAGACGTTTTTAAAAACACACAATATTTTGTTTGCTTCAAGCGATCAGGATAATTTTTAGTTTAGGTTTATGCCTACGCAGGAAATAATAAAATATGTAAGTTTCAAGAAGTTAGAATAAAAGCGCGAGATGAACTGTGAGATATAAAAAAGCTCAAATATCACTTGCGTAATTAACGTTTTAACTTGTTTTCGAACGCGTCCGAAAATAATTGCGAAAAAATTTTTAAAACTGACTACAATTTCAAAGTCAACGTTTTTTGTTCATTTTATGAATGACTTCTTCCACATAGAAAGATTGAAGGAAATCTGTAATCTTAAGAAATTCGAGTGGTCGGTTTTTACACGGACTGCCTCTTAACATTAATCATAACTTCGTTCAAAAGTCATCTTTGAAATGATGAAGTGAACAAATATTTACTTTAAAATAATTAGGTTTAGATCAGGGTACGACCACGTAATAACAAAATCGGCCAGTTAACCTTTCAAAATATCTGGCTTTCGACAGTGTCCTACTTTGTTGCTTTTCCATCGCTATAGACACCATCCATCGTAACTTCATTCACCTATTGACCCTCTGTGTTCTGTAAAAGTTCATTTTTCTACTTGGAAAGTGATACTTTCACAGTTAACTTTTAAAATACCTGGCTGTCTACAGTGTCCTACTTGATGCTTTGTCATCGTCCATCGTCCAACTTTGATCTCCCATTAACCGTCTGTGTTGCGACTGTGCAAGGATAAAGTTCAGTTTTTCTACTTGGGAAGTGATACTTTCACATTTGCGCCAAGGACCTTGAACGAGCCCCATTGGATGACATGTTTGAAACATTCTTCGTCTTGCATCTGACACATAGTTGTAGACAAGGCATCGCCAACACGCATTTCACGAAGATTTCTGTAAAATTTCTCCATGAACATCATAGTTGCACTGTCAGGAATGGCCCACAGAGCTGTAACAACGGACTTTGCACCAGCCATCAGAAATGCTCTTGCCAATCCAAGGACTCCTTCGATGCTGATCTTTCCACGGGCAGTGTGGCAAGCGCTAAGGACGACCATGTCTGCAGTAATGTTTAGTTTGGAGACATTTTCAACCGTAAGACAACTTGATTTCTTAGTTGGGTCAGTTACCCTGAAAGAATTAGAAGAGATATGTTACGTGTCTCGTAGCCCATTTTCATGACCACACAACGTCCGAATAATTCAGCGCCCAAAATCTCGAACGATTTCGTCTCATAATCCATCACAGACATATACTAGAAATACATGCATGCAGCGACCCCTCGCCTATATTTTCCAAGCAATGATTTAGCAATTGGTCAACACTAAACCACAGAATACTACACAGAAGTCCATCTCCATTGTTTTTTGCGTAAGCTCTATTCGTCATGATTCGTCACTCGGCAAGTACCGCAAACAGAAACAGTCCCCCCTGGAAATACTCAAAATGGCGAACGTCCAGGGGGGTGACTGCTTCTGTTTACGGCACTTGCGGAGTGACGAATCATGACGAATAACGCTTACGCAAAAAAAAACACAACGGAGATGGACTTCTGTGTAGTATTCTGTGACTATAAACGCAGACTCGCGTTGTACATCAAGTGGTGCCATGGCAACAAAATAATTTTAATTTTTTAATGTGTAAACTTGTCCTTCAGCAGCAGATTGAAATAAATGTGGTTGGGGTTGGTTCGAATGAGGACAAAGCTGCGACTGTATAAAATAGACTTTTAAAACACTTTAGAAAAAGGTCTTTATTTTTCTAAGTATGTTATTTTGCATTTTGTGAACTTTATTTTAATGTAAAATTTAACCTGGATCGACTACACTGATATTCATACTATCATATTTTACAGCATCTGAAACTTTTGGATACATATCCAGCGCGAGCAACTCATGAGAACACAAGCATTCGTTACCAACATGAGAAATCAACTTTCAAGAGATGTAAAATATTAAAAATTACGGGAACCACTGAGTATTTTAAAAAAATATAAAACAACGGTAACTCTGAAAATAAACATTTTAATCGTTCAAACAAGATCGCTAATATTAAAAATGGTGTTATTATGCGGCTCAAGTCGCCGAAAGGCCATAACATGTCAAATACGTCTAGCATCGTCTAAATTGCTTTGAAAATTTTTTTGCTAGTTCGCGAGGGGCCTGGCCCCTTAGCCTCGTTTTCGTGTTTAAGCTTATTTCCACATTTAATAGTCAAAATTGAAAATTCTTTTTACGCATTTGTTGAAGAAGGATGTTCTGCTTCTCTATGCATAGCCCATGAGAAACAAACTTAAAATCCATTCCATGTAAAGTGGCCCTAAGTTGAAAACAGTGTAGTCGTGACGTAATTACTGGAAAGGCCATTGGAATTCGGTGCCGAAAAAGCAAACACTCTCATTATGTTGTATAATAATGCTCGAGACACATGCAGAATTTTTCAATAGATCCTATGGTGCATCATACATATACTAGAAATACATGCATGCAGTAAGCCCTCACCTATATTTTCCAAAAATTTATTTCACGTGAAATATTCACAATTGGCCAACACTGAACGCAGGCTCGCGTCGTGACGTCATGTGTTTTCATGACGACACAATATTTTTAAATTTTAATTTTCTTGTATTTTTCAGTACAAAACGCAAAAATAGTTTAAAAAGTTTGTACAAAACGCCAAAATAGTTTAAAAAGACTACTACTTTTAACTATTCAACAATGAATTTCTGAAATATGTGCTCCAGGGGCCGGTTGTATAAAACTCTTAATCACTTTTTTAATCACTCTTATGTAGTTAAATAGTGATTAACTCTCAAATAGGCGCTTCTTATTGGATGACGTTTCCACTTAACTATGATTAAGAGCATGAAAAAACAAGCCGGTTGGCCGTTTAATGCTCTATTCTATCTTATCTAGTTCCGAAGAAAAATGTGCAAAATATAAATTGCTGATTCAGCACAACGTGTGACGTCATTAGTTGGGTAAATATGTTTATTGAATAGTAAACTAAAGCATAGCTAAGTTATTATTGCCTCAAATCAAATGAATTTTGCATACGGATAGTACATGATGAGATACATGGGAAAATACTTATGATTTTGTTGTCAAGGCAACACAGTCGTTCCCAGGCCCCTTTCACTGATTTTGAATAACTAGTCGCACTGTTTATCTATGTGTATGTCATTTTCGAATTATTATCATGCAAGTAAACTTTTGGCGTCCATAGGTATGGTACACACACTTCTGATAATATTTTAACCTTATAAGTACCATGAATGAAGCTGTTTTATAAAATTGGTGCAAGGGGCCTGGACAGTGGCTGTAACAGGCCTCAGAATTCGGGGGGGGGGGGGTGCATTTGAAGGGCAAACTCCTATTTTGGGGGCAAGATAGAATTTTAAAAAGGTATTGCGATTTGCCCATACCGTTGTCACAGGACTTTTGTCCCCCCAGGAGATATTCCTAGGAATACCGCCCCCGGGGGACGAATATCCTAGGAATATCGCCCTCCCCCAGAGGGGCGAATGCCCAGGGATATCGCCCCCCCCCCCTTTAGGATATTCGCCCCCCATATATGCGATGTGGTTTATTCAAATAATTTCGTGATACTTTCATATTATTAGTGCCTTACTGTCTTTCCAATTGAAGTTTTCCTCAAATATTGATTCAATACATTGCCTCGGGCTGACCAATTCATTTGATCAAGTTCCTCGAAATATTCATGCACTTCCTAGTATAATTGTAAACTTCCTGTTGAATAGCTTGAATGCACCAATCACCTTTGTTGTTTGTGCAACTGACCAATCATAAATAGAAAGGAAGTGACCAGAAATGATCAAATTCTTGAAATTGGCTCTTTCACAGGAAGTGTATGAATATCTCGAGGAACTTGATGAAATGAATTGGTCAGCCTGAGGTAATGTTTTGAATCAATATTTGAGGAACACTTCAATTGGAACGATAATAAGGCCCATACAGACCGGACGCTATTTGGCAACGCGACGCGAATTTTCAGTTTTCAATGACGTTTAACTTTAATATTTTTCATTGTTTTTCAAATATTCGGGACCACTTAGCAATTTTAGCTATTTGGTCTGCATACCCTGCAAATTTTTTATCCGTTGACGGTTTTATTTGTTTTTGAAAACTGAAAGTTCGCGTCGCGTTGCCGAATCACGTCCGGTCTGTGTGGGCCTTTACACGTTTGAGAATTTAACTTTGCAAAACTAAAGCTTTTTTGTCTTTTTTGAAACGTATTATTGGAGTATTGGCAAGTTTTAGCATTCAGAGATTTACAAACTATTATTGAAGCTGTAAAAGACAGTTTCATGTATACGCGCATTCACTAATGAGTAATGACAACTTATAAGCCATATATTTTCCGATAACGACAAAACGCTTGTGTAGCCTTTAGTTGCTCTCAGTGACTAATAATTTTTTTGAGCGGGGGCAAAATGCGGGAGAAAAATATAATTGGGGGGGGGCATTTGGCCCCCCTGCCCCCCTGGCGCCGCCACTGGGCCTGGGAACGACATTGTTACCCTGGCAACAAAATTAGAAGCGTTTTTCAATGTGTCTCATCATGTACAATCAGTATGCAAAATTTCATTTGATTTGGGCCCATAATAACTGAGCTATGCTTCAGTTTACTATTCAATAAACATACTTACCCAACTAATGACGTCACACGTTGTGCTGAATCAGCAATTTATATTTTGCACATTTTTGCGTATAACTTCGGAACTAGATGCATAGGCGTACGGGACGGGGGGGGGGGCAGGGGGGCAGCTGCCCCCCAAAAGATTACAAAGTCGGGCAAATGTTCAACATAAGTCGGGCGAAGAATGGGAAATTAAAAAGCCCAAAAAGTAGTCAAAGCAATAAAATCTCTCTTAATAATAACCCCAGTTTGTTGGGCAAACAAAGCCAGTTGGGCAATATTCGCTTAACAGTCGGGCAATATTGGGTTATTATAAAAATAAATGGGACAAATTCTGTCAATTTTGCGGGAAATTATGTCAATTTTGTGATGTTTGGAAAATTTGTTTGATGTTCTGAAAAATATTTATATGTCCGAAAAATTTTTAGACCCCTAAAATGGTACACTGACCAAAATTAATTGTTCCGGAAAAAAATTTTTTTGCACTGGTCGGGCACAATCCGAAAAAGTTGGGCAAATTTCTTTCCGCCCCCCTAATTTTTTCCTTCCGGAACGCCCATGACTAGATGAGATAGAATAGAGCATTAAACGGCCAACCGGCTTATTTTTTCATGCTCTTTCAGATGAAGCAATGAAAATTTTGGTTGCCAGTGTCCTCTTTATCGATAAGCGACATTTTGACGATTTTACGACTCAATTGTTTATAACGTAAACATCTCAGCGCGTATTCACCCCCCTTTAAAACAAAGAATACCATTGAAATCCTAATAAAATAACCTTTTCAACGGGGGGTTGAATGCCGTAGTAGGGTCAATATAGCACCTGACCCCAAAAAAATTGCAAGCAAACGTTTTATGGTGTTTTCCTGCAGTATTGAGTCTTGTGAACAACATATCAAAAGTTTAGAAAAATTTAGGTCACAGAAAGGGTAAAAATGTGACGTCATAAACAAGATGGCCGCCAAATCATAATATTTGTTATATCTCGCTTCATATTTGACATAGGGTGACAATATTGGTGTCTAGCTATAGGTTTTAGGGGTCAAGGAATCCATTAAGTCTATTTATGAGGTTGTAGGGGAATTGCATCATTGGAAATCCAAGATGGCCGCCACGACAGCCCCAAGCTTACAGTTGTGGTGTCTATCGATAGGTTTTATTTATATGTTACTGTGGAAATAACCTGTCAGTTCGGCTTTCGCGCATACGATCTCATTGTTCTTCGTCATCGTCTTCATCTAGTATTGGCCCCAGTGTTATGTTGTCACAGTTCCCTTCTTGACAAGGTCCGCATGCGCTTGTACAATCAAGCCCATGTTTTTTACAGGTACATCTTAGCGTGTTACAACCAGTGGAACAGTTGCAGTGGATTATTTTGAGGAGAACCTCGGGAGCATGGTCCTTATCCATCATGATCGGAATGAGTTTGTCCCCTTGAACTTTAAATCCCCAGTCGTTAGGGACCATGTCCTCACTTATGCCCATCCAGACCATAACTTGGTAATGCGTCCTCAGCGAGTGAAATCTAGTGGCAGAAGCAGTTGGCGGAAGTCGTTCAGGTGTGACGAATGTCTTCGATCTTGAAACTTTCTTACAGAGCGAATTGTACCTAAGGGTTGCGAGTGATTCGTTTTGATTCCCATTAAACAATGAAACCATTGCCTTACAGCCAGCACTTTCAACGGTATCTCGATCTTTGTCTGGTGAACAAAAAATCTTTGAACATGTACGAAACACAGATTGCCCCTTGATAATTTTTTGAAAAACGGATTTTTTGCCAATCCCAAAGATTCTTGAAGTCGTGTCGCAACCTGTGAACGCATGAACAAACAGCAGATCAGTACATAAATCATCACCTAATATCTGTTTCAGAACATTGATGTTGTACACATATTGTTTTGTTTTATCCCCGGTTTTATCTGAACGGAAGTAGAGCTCATGGCTGTCCTTAAGAGTCGCATGATACAGAAGGAGAATCAACAAGTCAGTATCTTCACCAATGAGCATTGTAGACTTGTACCCAGACATTGAAGCTGCGGCTTTTACTATGTCCACGTCTGCATCTCCCTCAGCTTGGATGACATGGCAGCCTTTCTGCTTCAAGCATTTTGCGACCAGATCAATCATAGCCTGTTTGTTTTCCACATTCGAGAGAAAATCCTCTTTTTTTCCGACGAACTTAGTAGCATCCGATATATTAACCTTGTTAGCAGTCTTATTTGCACCTCGTCGTTGATGTGTATTGTCCTTAATGCCTGGCCCTCCACTGTACCCATCAAATACCACTGTGGCATGTCCGTATAAATCCAAAGTGAACTTTGCATATGCGTCAGCGATTGAGCTGTACGTAGAACCTTCGGTCCATTTCAGTCTATGCAAAAGTGAACCCCCGTCTAAAACGTAGTGATCAGTAACTGGGATCGTCTCAAGCACTGCATCATCAGATGTGGGAGTGACATAGTTTCTTATAGCTTCCATCAGTTGTGCCTTCTCTGGTTTGCGCAAACGATCCTTTGCTTCAAATAACGCTGGAGGATAAGGACTGAGTTCATATTCCATCACCTCACTTAAATTAAGATCTCCAGACTGTGATACCACCAAGAACCTCTGAAACAACAAAGCTGGGTCTATGGTTCTGTCTTCAGTAATTTTGATGGCTCGGGCAGTAGCTAATGTCTTCACTCTAGTATTTCTCTTGTGTGAATAGGAAAATATAGACTGTCCTTCCATTGTTTTCACTGTGGTGTTGCCAACCGCGAAAAGATCATCCACATTCACATCGTCATTAGCATTTATACCAGTTATGATGTTGCGCAAGGTAGCATCTCCTGTGAACGGGGAAAAGTCTGCAAGTTTTTCTATAAGCATTTCTCTGTCTGCTTTATCTCTATTCATCCTTGCACACGTAGATTCTTTGTGCTGTTCACTTGTTGCGTATACCATCTGGCTGAACTCTTGCATGGCATAGTTGTAGGCTGAGGTTACAGGGCGAGACATTGTCCAAAGTGTTCTTTGGTGTTCATTAAAGCCACTTCCTCTTGTTAGCCCGCCTGTGCTTTTAAGGGAACGCATTAGCGTCTGCTCGATGACAAGGTCAGAGCTTAGGCCAGCCCAGTATTGGTTGCTGCGGCGTATGACATGGAAACCATTCATGAATTTCTGATAAACAGAAGGGTTGTCAGTTTCTAAGCTGTTCATCTTCTGAAGATACAGATAACCCGACTTGAGATAGTTAGGGTGTCCAGCAGCTGCAAATATTGGCAAACAGTCAGATATGGCATGGAGGTGCATCTCCCATGATCCGGTGCGATCGGCCTCGATGAGTTCGCGGGAAACTCCCAACATTTGCTGATAATTTAACCACAGTTTGCTTGTCTTTGAATGACCGGATAGTTCACATTCTTTCGATTTGAGCCGATCAGCGATTGTTCCAATGCAATCTGACGTCAGCAAATAATCCATGTTTCTTTCACCAGTTTCCGAAAGAGCGTACAACGTTTCAAGCTCTTTCAAGACGTTTTCAAAACCAGGCTCATCCTCGATGATTTTAGCTACTATCTGATGCGTAAGGCATTGATCTACAAGAAGATGTCCGCGAAATGCACGTTGTACAGATTTACCACTCATCATATGCACAACTGCGTTCTCACCATATATTGTTTCTAGGATCTGTTTCAGTCCACTCCCATCCATTAATGTTCCTATGGCCCCCAAAAGATTCATGAAGGTGTGAAAACTGCCCAGTAACAATACAACATCTCTTATAGGACTATTGTCTGGTACCTCATTTACGATCTCTGATGCCTTCCAGAAGAGCGGTTGGTCGAATGTTATGATTGGCGGAACGTTTTGCTTGGCAGCTAGGTTGCACACATACTCCAGTGTGGAGAAAATGCATGTTTTGTCACTTGATGACATATCAATCATGGGAAGGAACGCTATCGAAGACTGGCCAGGATGATCACATTCCTTGCGCAATGTATGCATCATACCCTGCCAGTTTGGGGCGCATTGACGGAAACGTAACGACATCTCCCAGAGTATGTCAATTTTGTGATCGATGTCGCAAATCAATGGAAGAGGCATAAATTTTATATTGCGACGAACGTGTTTAGCAAACCGATAGTCCTTGATGTCCACCTTTGCCTCATTCAGAACATTTAAGTCAACTTTTTTTCGCCTTTGAATAGTGTGACTGACTTGTTTCCCGGGTGTGATGGCCGCTATCATACCCATTCCATGGAAGGTACCCTTTCCATCAAGCGTTACTATATTATGATCGACATTATCGGCTGCGAACAACAGAGCCATTTCAAGTATGTCTATATCTCCACCTAACATATCTGGTGCAATTGCAGCAGCGGCATTGTTCTCAAACCTTTGAACCTCCGAATAGGATGAGCAATAACCCATGGCAGAGAGGCTATCGATCAAAAACCTTGACCTGAAAAGATGGTGCATTTGCACACCCAGGCCAAGCTGCAATGGTGCTATAACGGCCCGTGGACGAACAGCTTGTACAATTGACTGTCCAATACTGGCACATTTCCGGCTAACGTCCTTGCCGACAAAAAGGAGCTGTAACATCAAACGCAAGCTCTCTGGGACGAATTCTAAGGAAGGTTCAAGTTTGAGTTCGCAAGTCTTCGGATATTCATCACTAACTGGGGTGACCATACATTTAATGTCACTCTTAATGAGTCTAGCAGCAGTTTCAATTATATCTCTCTTCTGTGCTTCCTCATCCTCCTTCTTTGGCAGGTGAAAATAACCTCGGAGGATTCGTCCAGTTCTTTCACGAAACGTCACAATGTCTTGCAATCCATCGCCCTCAGCTACAAATATTGAATCTCCATAGTGTTTCATTAGCTGACACTTTAGATACTGATTCCCGTAAGCACCACACTCACTTTCATGCAGATACTCCTCCATTTTATTTGCAAGGTCGGTAATACTCAATTGTTCTTCGTCATTGTCCTCAAAGAAAGCACACATCCTGAAAAATGCTTCTTCCTGGTCTGTGTCCCTTGGTCTTCCAAGTTTCCGGCATCGTTTATTTTCACTGGGGCCTACTCTGTGCTGGTTTGGAATATCCCGCAACGTGCGGAAATTTATGTCACAAGAACGATGATACAAACAGTCAGCTGCGTGTAGATCTCCACCATAATATTGAACGCGTCCTTGGACAGTAAATGCCCATTCATCAGCACGTGTCTTGCAGATTGATAATATTGTGTCTGCAAAGCAGTCTGTTTTAACACATCCATAGTCGTCATTTTTAACCCCAAATTCAAACTTCACAACCTTATTTCCGCAGTATAAACAGTCTGTGCTGCTATCATATGGTCCAACAGAAACACGTGCACTTCTTTTGACGACAGACGGCGTGCACTCTAATTGATTAGTTTTCTTATGCGAGTCTATGTAATTTTGGTTGATATAATTCGCACGGCATGACTTGTGCACTCTGGTTTTAGGTGCCACAATGATATTATCGCCTCTCTTGTCACTTGCGTTGTTGATACCGTCAGCTCCTTTCTTGCCTATCACCACTGTTTCTTCACTTCCAAATCCCTTTTCGCAAAAAGGGCATGTTTCCTGGCTTGCACTCATCTTCGAGATTTAAAATGAACCAACATTCGTTGCATTATTGGCCTCCCATAGTGAGACGTTTAATGATGTTTACATTACGTACTGTTATCAGATAGAACTTGATACCGCTGACAAACGGTTCGCATGATCGCTTTCGTTGAGAATTGAAGCTTTTATAGTAAATAGACCGTTTTTAAATATTTTTTATGTCGAAAATCAGAAGTAAGTGAAGCCGATGTATTCTACTATTAATTCCTATAGTATGGTGATAGTTAAAGCCTTTATTTACGGATTTTTCTTTGTATTATTCTTAGTTTTTACCGCTTTGTATACGTGTTTTGTTGTTAATAAAACTTTAAAATGGAGTAGTCTCACACATCAGAGTGGTTATAAATGTGAATTTGGTACAGCAACAACCTCCTCGTGCTGTATTGGAAACGCGACACATAGTCAAAACACATTTCTAAGAAATCCACATGGCTTCCTTATCAAGTGCCTGAAATGGATTAAATTATCTTTCCAATAGTAATTAAACTTACCTGTACATTCTTCAGTTGTTCCGATACATAATATCTTGTTCCGATACATGTTATCCTATGTTTAATATCAACTGAGTTATGGCCAATAACATAATTTGGGGCTGTTGTGGTGGCCATCTTGGATTTCCCATGATGCAATTCCCCTACAACCTCATGAATAGACTTAATTGATTCCTTGAACCCTAAAACCTATAGCTAGACACCAATATTGTCACCCTATGTTAAATATGAAAATATGAAGCGAGATATAGCCAATATTATGATTTGGCGGCCATCTTGTTTATGACGTCACATTTTTACCCTTTCTGTGACCTAAATTTTCCTAAACTTTTGATATGTTGTTCACAAGACCCAATACTACAGGAAAACACAATAAAATGTTTGCTTGCAATTTTTTTGGGGTTAGGCCATATTTTTCATAAATTGACTCTACTATTATTGTAATGACTAGCTACTGTAGTAAGCACATTCTCATATATTTTTTTCGAGATTGTTTCTTAAGTTTTGGATATCGCTTGTTAAAAAAATAATAAATATCAAAATTAATATTAAATTGAATTTTCTTTCAATTTTCATTGAAATTAATGCAATTTATACGCATTGTAACTGAATAATATAGACTATATAACTCCACGTACAGAACTGAAAATAGATTAAAGAGTATAGAACTTGCTAGGTACTGTGAAGAAATAAGTTTAGTTATTTGCCATAGTTATATTAATACGTGCACAATAAGGACTAGAATTCTTTCAAACAAATTTTACGGAATATCTGTATTGCGAATGACAAGGAAATAACTAATAAAGCCATAGAAGGAGAGGTATTTTTTGTTAAACGGTGATCAGCATCAAGACTATAATTAAGTCAAACATTGACGAATTTAATATTTATATTTTTATTTTGATGGATGAGTTTGCAGAATGGTCATTAACTACTTGAAAGGAATTCAAATGCAAAGTCTGATCATTGAGTAAAGTGGTCTGCAGGTCAATATGCACTGATGGCCTGCTTTAATTAAATTATTGCATAACGCAGCAATTGCGTGTATATTGAATATTTAAATGATGTGCTTTTTTGTTTGAAGGGCAGGTCTCTACTTTAACATCTGCATGCATGTACTTTAACGATGTTATGTGTATTAATATTCACTTCCTTAAAACAAATAATGATCTTTTAATAATTTCAATTCCAATGCATTCTAACGGAAGAATTATATAGTTATAGATGCTCAAAATTTATTTCGAATTTTCTGACGAACTTAAGCTCCATGTATTCTAGAGTGAAAATTGTAACCAGACGCGAATATATGCCTAAGGTATCGCTCACTTTTGGTCGTAGAATAGATATACGTCCGAGAATTTGGAGCTAAAAATTACTTTTGGCTCATTTTTGCACGCCAAATACCTTTCTCTCTTTGCCACCTACTTTGAATTAGTGTCCGCTTTCCAGCTTGTTAAATTAATATCAAATATCATTGGTTTAAGTATAACATCAGTATATCCATGTTCTTTACCAATTTCGAGCCTAATGGCACATCGTTTCGATCTAACTGTCGGATCAAGGTTTCCCAAGGTGTAACAGAACATATCTATTTTATGTGTTGCAGCATGACTGCCAAGCGGATTGCACACCTCCAATGCATCATGGTAAATTATTATGATTAATGCATCTTTATGTTCCTAAAAAAGCCTATATCATATTTAAAAAATTCACCATCACATATATCATAAAATACCTCAGGATTACAGTAATTAGGTTTCCTAAATGTCAGTTTTGCAATTTTCTCATTGGAGAAAATTAAGAGACAATGTCCACTAAAACCGAGCAAAATCGAGAATACGTGGCACATGATGAAAAATAAAAAATCTTCTTATTTTTTCCAGTGATACTCTAATGTGTACTCAGAAACGTGGTGGGGTTTGTTTTCTGAAATATTATTTTAAACGCCGAAAATTATCAAAACCTCACACATACCCGAGATTCGCGAAATTAGCAAAAAAAATTGTGAGCTACGGCCTCTCGAAAATTTCGTTTTTCTCAATTGGCGTGTGATGAAACCTCACCTTTCGTTTTTAAACGTGTTTCTAAGATGTTTATAAAGACCGTGGGTCCAATTTGCAATTTTTGAAATGATTTTTCAATGTCAAGACAAGCGTGTAAAAATCGTCTTTTTTTGCGATCCAAAAAAATCTAAATTGTTACGCTTTTTGAAAATTAATTTTCCGTATCCGGGAAAACTCCAATTTCCTTGAAATTTACAGAATTTAAAGACAAACTGTTGCTCTAAAACCTGATGTAAAAATTATTTTGGGGCTTTTTGTTACCGCGGAATTATACTGACTATAATATCGAGAAAATCACCAAAAAACGTTAAAAATCCTCAGACAATTAGGCACTTTGCTTCAACTATAGACAGCCGAATCTTAATCATTCTTGCTTGTTTTCTCTTGTTATTGATAGGAAATATAAGACGTATAGATAATTTTAAACTAGTTTGCCTATTTCTAGATAAAAATACGCTGTTAAACACTCCAAGACTAAGATTTCTTCTTCAAATTCTTGTTTCAATTGATCGATCCATGCGCGCCAATTAAAATAAACTAGAAACACTTGTACACTCGCTAGATTCAAAGCTATATATATATATATATATATACTTACTATAAACAGTCAATTACTTATATTTGAGGATGTTGTGCTCTAAGCAGTTCAGTTTAAGCGTCAAACTTCGGCCTTATTTTCATTGAAGCCGGGCAAGTTCAGTCGTTTAATTAAAGGGACAGGGCCGTTCCTAGCGTGATAATTGGGGGTGCATGTTCATATATTCGTCTTCTGCCCGACGGATTTCTTTTGAAAGCGATTGTTTTTTATGGTAACGAGCATACATGAATATATGAATATACCCCCTCCCCCATTATCGCGTCTAGGAACGGCCCTGTTGAGGGATATGATCGGAAATAGCATGAATATAGAAATTAGATTCCCTTATCTGAAAGAACTTTTAAAATGACGTGGAAAACATTTAAAAGCTTTTTTTAAATCTCGCTTATTTCTCGACCTTAAGAAAAGCTTCTGTTGTGATGGAGCTAAACTGTGGAACTGATTACCTAAATGCAATTGACCCTTATAACGAGGGTCGAGGGTCGTACGTCGAGGGTCGAAAGTAGTAAATTTTTATCCATTTCAAAAGTTTTACAACCATTTTGAAAGCTCCCAAAAGCGGCAAAACAATTAGTTTTGCTCTCAAAACTGAAAAATTTCGCCTACGGCTATAATCTATATGTATACTGAAAGTTTCGCTGAAGAACTATAAGTCTGATGCGAGGTTTGATGTTTGAAAGTATACGTATTTTAATATACATCGGAATTTAAAATATACCAACATGGGCGATGATCAGAGGCGATGATACAAAATTTGCGTTTCGCCAGTGCCGTAGCTAGCTCGATAGTTGGGGGGGGGAGGGGCAGATATTCATATATTCGTGTTCACAGACCATAAAAACAATCGATTTCAAAAGAAATTAATAACGCAGAACACGAATATATGAATATCTGCCCCCCCCCCAATTATCGAGCTAGCTACGGCACTCGCTCTCATGAGAAATTTGATTATAAGAGGCTGTTTATATGGTCCCGCTTACCCGGGATTCAATGAAGTGTAACGTATTTTGATCGAGCAATTGAAATACGTGTTTCATCCCTAAACAAAAGTTAGATAACTTTAAATATTTTTTAAACGAAATTAGGAATGCGCCTGAAGTTATGTAGTGAAAGAATACGATTAATAGCATTCAACAACATTTGGTTTTTTGTTTAAGACATGGAATTTCATACAATTTGTAACGAGCAATTTTGTTATATCATGAAGTGCGACTAATTTACATTGCTCAAAATACGCACGTCACACTTCATTAAATTCCAGGACCCGGGGAAGCGGGACCATGGCCCCAACTCAATGGCATGGCGGCGACATACAGAGTTCTGAAATTGCTCAGAACTTCAACTTAACGATACTCCCTATAGGGTATGACATCGTGTTTGCAAGTCTGATATGTTGGATAAGTTGCAGAAAAGTATGGGTAATATCTTCATTTTTTGCAGTTTGTCATGGATAATGTAGCTGCTTAAAATTAATCAATTGTCAGTATTTTAAGGGTATATTTAATATTTAAATGATAAATAAGGTCCGCATGATTTTGAAAAAAGAATGATTATTAGCAAATTGGTTTCTTAAAAGAGCAAGTCGTTTACATGCAGTTATTGTGCATATAACAAAGTAAATTCAGCGTATGTTCTGTACATCAGGTTTGATATTACTTTATAATTTCTGTGTATTCGGAAGTTTATTTATACAAACTGTCAAACACGTCACTAATTACATTGACATTGTCATTGTAGTCACATCGCGAGTTTAACAAAATCTAGCCCTAATCTCAATGATTTATGCGACTACTTCAGAGAAAACTAAGCACATATATTTCA